GGAGAAGCGGTGCGTCGGTGTACGCCCGGATCCGAACCCGGGCCACCAGCAGCGGAGCGCGCGCACTTGACCACCAAGTCACGGGGCCGGCCCTTATCATTGATTTTAAATTTTCATAGTATGTAACTGTTTTCTTTTTAAATTGAGTCTTGTCATTAGTCTTTTTCAGGCCTGTTATTTGCCAACAAGGAAAAAGCATAGTATGATAAAAATTAATGAAAAATCATTTTAGATGAGGAAATGCATTTAAAGAATGCATTGCATTCTGCTGCCAAATAATAATAATAATTCAAATTGAATAGCTTAATCTTTAATTAGATGCCCACCAGAAGATGTTAGTTTGAGAAATGTGGGCTATTAAAATCTGATAACAACCAGGCAACACTACACAGATGTGTGACCTTTTTGACATCTTAATAACTGTACATCCTTACAAGCTATTAGAACAAAAAAGCTGAATGGTCTTGAACTAGGAAATACCCAAAAAGTAAACAAGGAAATACAACTTCCAGGAAAACTAGAGGGAGTTTATGGCCATGCCTTTGTGGCTTGCTAGTGTGCTTAATGCTGAAAGTTTTTACTTTCTCTGTGATCCTAGATGTATGATTATGTGTCTTTGACCAGCTTCTTTTAACTAAAAGATAAACCAACTGCCAATTTTTTACATATTTGGGTTTATTTTGGAAAATACAGAAATCCAAAGGTAACTTGGGTTTTCATTGGTTTCTCAGTGAGAAATTCTTCTTTATTTAATTAGTAGTCAGTATTTCATGAGATCCCATCTTCCATGTTCAGGAATAAACTCTATTCACTAGATAAGTAAACGTTTAGACAAGAGAGAAATGACAAGTAGGAATTGGGGTCTCTCTTAGGCTCCTGGCTGGTTTATGAACCATGAAGAAATTATAATCTTTTTAATTTTTGTTATTTTTCAGTAATAAAAACTTTTTAGTGAAGAAATATAAAAACAGAATTTAAATTGTATGTATTTAGAATATATATATATATATAACTAATTAATGCTTTTAACATCAAAAAGAGAATAAAATTGTGTGAGATCCTTATGAAATAGTTTTTAAATTAATTCATACTTCACCCCAGATAGCAAAGTTCATTAATGCTGCACTAATTTAAAACTGAATGACAGGCCCGGCCCCATGGCTTAGTGGTTAAGTGTGTGCGCTCCGCTGCTGGCGGCCAGGGTTCAGAACCCCGGGCGCGCACCAATGCACGGCTTCTCTGGCCATGCTGAGGCCGCGTTCCACATACAGCAACTAGAAGGATGTGCAGCTGTGACATACAACTATCTACTGGGGCTTTGGGGGAAAAAATAAATAAAAAATAAAAATTAACATTTAAAATAAATAAATAAATAAAACTGAATGACAAATACTTTGTTCTTTCAACCTCATTATTTCTATTTCAATCCCATGTATACTACTCAGCCATAAGAAACGATGAAATCCAGCCATTTGTGACAACATGGGTGCACATTGAGGGTATTATGCAAAGTGAAATAAGTCAGAGGGAGAAGGTCAAATACCGTATGATCTCACTCATTAGGTAGTAGATAATAACAACAACAAACAGACACATAGAGACAGAGATTGGATTGGTGGTTACCAGAAGGGACGGGGGGAGGGAGGAGGGCGAAAGGGATAATTCAGCACATGTGTGTGGTGATGGGTTGTAATTAGTATTTGGGTAGTGAACATGATGTAATCTATGCAGAAATAGAAGCATAATGATGTACACCTGAAATTTATACAATGTTATAAACCAATGTTACTGCAATAAACAAAAAATTTAAAAAAGATAATAATGTTCCTTAAATTTCACCAACTAGAGATAGCCTGTCTGATATAAAAATAAAGTATTTGTAACATACGTGCTAACAAACTAAATATTCATACTTTAACATGTATTTAAAAAAGTTTCCCAGTTGGCACATCATTTATATGTATGTTCACACTTCTAGAATTTTAAAGAGTTATTTATCTTAAATAAGTCAGAACGTCCATTCTTTTGTTTAATGGATTTACTTTACCGTTTTCTAGTACACTTCCAATCTGTGTAGATTTTTCCTTCTAGATTTAAGTTAAACTTCAATCTTCCTATCTTCAAATTATCACAAATGAGAGTTTGATAGGATATGAATAGATAAGATTTTCCTATACTGAATCTGTAGAGCTGTTTAACATCAGAAATGCTATCAGCCCAGAAGTAGGCCTTGGCATAAGGGGATAGATTTAACTAACTTTGAAAATGCTTTCTCGCTCTTATCTTTATATAAACTGATTTTTTTATCCTTTTCATACTTTTCTCATGATTTACATTTGTCTCTTTCAAAAATTTTTGGTCTATTCGGAAACAAATGTTATGTGTTTCAAGGTGGGGCTACACATCCTTTTTGCGTGATATTTATAGTTGACAGATGTAGACTTAAAAACCAGCTCCACTGTTTATCAGTGTGACCTTTACTGGTCACTTAACTTTCCTCAGCTTTAGTTTCTCTTATAAAACGGAGATTATCATCAACCCTACCTAAATCACAGGATTCCTGTGAGTTTAAAATGACATGATGTATGTGAAAGCTCTTTGTAAACAGTAATGGATTGTTGTTGACATTATTTCCCAGAGTATTTAGGACTCTGAATGGGCATATATTAGATGGCTGATAAATACCTACTCAGTTGAATTTCACTGAGAGACGATAGCGTTGAATAATCTCCAGCACCACTGCCTCGGCACTGACACTCTTGGATTTCATAATCTGACAAAAGCCTAATCCTGAATTAGTAATGCCTGTTGTATTTATTATCTTTTGGGGGGAATTATCTCTCAGGTGGCAAGTGTCTAAGAGTTATCAACCAGTTGTTGGGTGCACCAGTGATAATCATTCTCTTCCCAGAGCAGTGGTCTAGGGAGGTCTAACTGCTGACCTTAATAGGGCTGTTCACACTTCCCAGTGGTGTTTACTGAGCCTGACATAGCACTTGTATTTGTTACACATTACCTGGCTGCCAGAGTTTGGCTGTGACACACTGTTGGGGAACAGAGTGGCAGCAGAGAGGAGTACAGGATAATAAACTCAAAAGCTCAGCACCAGCATCTCAGATTCTCTGAGTTTAGTCCTGCTTGGTGAACATGATTTAATCCACGAATTGCTGAAGTTTAGAGTGCTAAGCAAATTTCCATTTTTCATAGAATGCTCTTACTTGTAAATACTCTGTTCTCAAGCATATACAAAATTTAAGCTCTTTTATTTGATTTCATCTTCTGAAGTTTGTTTTTGATGTTTTGTAGTTGTTTTTTAAAACTCTCAGATGTTTTATCATATTCTTTATATGAAATCCATTACTTAAAATATGCCTATATTATGGTCTTCAGACCTATGAATAATTCTCCCTCATACAAAATGAACTATCCAGAGAGCACTGACAATTATGAGATAGAACAAAGAGGTCAACAGTTTTGCTGTACCAGATGCTTTATTTACAGAAGAATGTCCAGAAATATTTTTAACCTTTTTTTCCCCTTTCTTTTTCTGAAAAGTATATACATCTGCATATCATCTGGCATTATTTTATTATTCTCAATTCTACTTTCTGACTCTACTACTGTTGCTTTCTAAAGGGTCAAGAGCTTATTTCATTCTACATCTAGTTCTGATATGGTATCATTTAAAAAATTCCCCAAAAATGTATGACTCTTACGAGATAATTGGAAATTTGAAAACTGAGCATTTGGTATTGAGGAAGTATCGCCAGAAATTTTTAGGCATAATAAAATGAATTGTGATTATGAATTTTTTCTGTGTCCTTACCTTTTAGAGATACATAATGAACTATTTGCGAATAAAATTCTTTGATATCTGGGATTTGCTTAAGAGTAATCCAGAAAGATTGGAAGTGGGTAGATATGTGGAAGGTATCAGATTGACCATTACAGTTGTTGAATCTGAGTGATGAGTACATGAGAGTTCATTATACTGTTCTGTCCACTTTTGAATATGGTTGAACTTTTTCAACCAATAATAAAGATTTTTTTTAGTTCCCAAAGATTAGTTATACCAGCAGTGTAATCTATAAAAGGTGTGTGATTTGGTTCTTCTGCTCTGTGAGGGAATCATTTGAGCTCTGACCCTCACCCTGTGTATTTCGTTCCCCTGTCATCTGCCCTCAAACTACAGTCTGCGTCATGGTGCAGCGTGAGCCAGCAGGGTCCTGCATTCATAAACAATCGTGAAATCTTTGTCTTCAAACAGGTGGAACTGTATAGGCCGGGTCAAATGAAAACGCTCTAAGCATACCCACCAACATCAACACTCAGGATGGATGAGCTCTTCCCCCTCCTCCATCACCTTCCAAGTAAAAATCAAGTATCAGTTACTCCCAGTCTTAGATTTATGCAAATCTTTATTAGAACAACAAATAGAGCTAAGAATGGCAGCTAATTAACCCTCAGCCTTACACAGTGATTAAGCTGAGGGTGAGCACAGCTGCAGCTTCATTGGTAAGAGCTTTATTCTTCTCAAATGGACTGAGCAAATGGAAAGAGGAATTTGCTCCCAGTGGCTTTTTTATAGTGTTCTATAAAAGGTCGGAGAAGGGCTTCTTCCTCCTTCTCCAACATCACAGCCCTTTGTTTCAGATCTCTTAGGGCCCATTTTTTAAACAATTAATACAATCCTTATCCATAAACTGTCTCAGCTACTTTAACTTTGATTGTTATTAATTGCTTGTCGTTGACCTGGTTATGATTAGATAGTAAATTATGTTACTAAATATTAAAATTTTATAATTGATAATGACTGCTAGGGGGTAGGGACCATAAAATAGGATTAATTATTTCAACACAGGTATATTTGTGTAGATTATTTATACTGTTTGTGATTATTTACACTGTTTTCACTGATGAAAGGTACATAAATGGAATTTGAGGATTCCATTTCTTACTCTAGCAACATGAACCTTGCTTCTACGTATTCCATTCTAATACACCTAAGAATTGGCAAAGAACAATTTCTTTAACTGAAATTCATGTAAAGTTATAGAAATGATAAGCCTACCTGTTTTCAAAGTAGACTATTTTACCAAGAATTCAAAAAAGTTTTTTTATTTTTCTGGAACAGATGTTACAGATGTCTTCGTAGACATCAGGGTTCTTCTGATGGCTATGAATTTTTTTTAAGTGAGAAACTTACAAAGTAGAAGTACATGATACATCATACAGCTAACTTCAAGCTGTTTTCTTTATTTGTGAAGAATTGGCTTCTCTTCTAGAATGTTACATGCTAAATTCCAAAAATCGTTCTAATCGATACTTCCAAATATGAATGTAGATAGACTATATAATTTATAGCCATTTAACTTCTCTGATACCTTATACAAAGAAAAGGAAAGCTGTAGTTATATGTAGTTAGTCAATCTACTTGATATTTTAAATACCAGGAGAGTAAATAAGGTCCAAAAAATGTATAAAGGACTTTGGGTTCTAGCTCAGTATTATCTGTAGAATCCTGGAACACTGCCCCCTCTTGCCTCCACAAGTTCTTATAGGCTTACTCAGATCCATTTGGAAATATGCTATCCATGGTGTGGAGGTTCTAGAAAAACAGAGGATTCATTAAGAAAGATGAATAAAGTCAGGGAGTACACACCATTAAAGAGAAGAACATTTCTGTTTTGTGAATTAAAGAAGTTTCACAGAGGTGATTCTGTACCATGATAAATTTGGTTTTTTTAAAAAAAAAAAAAAAACAGAAAATAGCAATTCTGAGATATTCTTCTTGACCTATATGTTTATAAATGTGAGTTTTAAATGCTATTAAAAGAATTGTTTCCCTATCTTGTCATTCTGTAAAAAGAAACTCTTTAGTTGTCTTATAAGGGATACTGGTATAGAATAATGTAAACTGAAAGATCCAATTGTATGTAGCACTTTATCAAAGAATGATTTTCTAGGAAACATAGAATGAGAAAGGAAAGCTAAAAGTACCTGATCATGGGTTTAGATTTTGGATTACCGTGTAGTGAAACAAGTAAAAAGCATTCCTCTTTCAGTCAAAGAATTGCCAAGAAAGGATTGGTGGCTTCAGTATGTAGGTGAGAAATGACTCCATGACAAGGCAAGTGTCCTAATTAGCCCTTGGTAATTCTTCTTTGTGTAGGCAAATCTTTATTTAACATAGCCATCAGTTTGATATCTTTCCTGAACATCCAATTTGCCTAGGTTAAAAAGAGCATTAGCTGTTTATTATTTTTTGATAGATCATTGTCCAGAAATGGTAGCCTACAAAATCTTTGTTACTTTCATAGTTAAATATATCTCCTTGCTAGGTTTGATTCTTTTAAAGATGGTAAAAACTAAACTATACTATATTTGCTGATATATGGGATGCATTTGTGTCTGTAAAGTTGCACCCTTGTGTCTTACCTACAGAAAAGGGCCATTGGAGAAATTGCTCCCATTTGGTAAAGAAGAAGATACAACCTTGTGTTTATCATCCTCTTGTTTCTTTTTCTCACTTGTTTCTTAACTCTGAACCAGGGAATAGCTGCACTAGCAGTATTCTTAAAGGAGGAAAATGAATCTCTAGGGTGGCAACCTGTAAGTCCTTTATTGTTTCTTTTTGACTATTACAGAGTTGTCCACTCATCTTTGTAGGATTGTGATTGGTGTGTCCTATAATAGCATGTACAGTAAAATCTCACTAATTCAGTATAATTAAGAGAAGGTCAGCCTGAGGAGTAATTTTTTAATGAACTGTAGGGAATTTTAAGTGAGTGAAGACCTAAGACTTTTAGGTACATATAGGAAATGTTAGTAAAATGTTTAAACTAGGTGGCCTATAGACTCTGCTTTACCAAGGAAAGGGATGAAGTGGGTTTTTCACATTCACAAAAGTAGATAGAATGATTATAATGAACCGTAATGTATCCCTCACCCAGCTTCAAAACTTAACCTTTATTTAGGGTTTAGGTATTTTTACAGGTTAACAAGGACTTTCTTTAGCCAGGCTAAATATTCTCAGAGAATATTGCTTTACACCATTAATTTTCATGGCAACTTTTTTGTTTTATTTTATTTTATTTTATGAGGTCATAACAGTTTATAACATTGTGAAATTTCAGTTGTACATTATTATTTGTCAGTCACCATATATATGTGCTCCTTTACCCCTTATGCCCAGCCCCCAACCCCCTTCCCCTCTGGTAACCACTAATCTGTTCTCTTTGTCCATGTGTTAGTTTATCTTCTACATATGAGTAAAATCATATGGTGTTTGTCTTTCTCTGTCTGGCTTATTTCGCTTAACATAATACCCTCAAGGTCCATCCATGTTGTTGCAAATGGGATGATTTTGTCTTTTTTTATGGCTGAGTAGTATTCCGGTGTATAAATATACCACATCTTCTTTATCCATTCATCGGTTTATGGGCACTTGGGTTGCTTCCACGTCTTGACTATTGGGAATAATACTGCAGTGAACATAGGGGTGCATAAGTCTCTTTGAATTGTTGATTTCAGGTTCTTTGGATAAATACCCAGTAGTGGTATAGCTGGGTCGTATGGTATTTCTATTTTTAATTTTTTGAGAAATCTCCATACTGTTTTCTAAAGTGGCTGCACCAGTTTGCATTCCCACTAGCAGTGTATGAGGGTTGCCTTTTCTCCACATTCTGTCCAACATTTGTTGTTTTTTGTCTTGGTGATTATAGCCATTCTAACGGGTGTAAGGTGATATCTCAGTGTAGTTTTGATTTGCATTTCCCTGATGATTAGTGATGTTGAACGTCTTTTCATGTGCCTATTGGCCATCTATATATCTTCTTTGGAAAAATGTCTGTTCATACCCTCTGCCCATTGTTTGATCGAGTTGTTTGTTTTTTTGTTGTTGAGTTGTGTGAGTTCTTTGGAGAGTAACCGCTTGTCAGATATATGATATGCAGATATTTTCTCCCAGTTGGTGGGTTGCCTTTTCATTTTGTTCCGGGTTTCCTTTATCATGGCAACTCTTTTTAAAAGAGATAATATAATAAATTTCAGAATAAGTTTCTGCATCAGAATTATTATTAATATTTGTTACTGAAGGGTGCAGTATGTGTTGCTGTGGAGGTAGGCCACTGAGGTCTTGATTTTTTAAGGAGAAATTAAGATAAATTATTTAAACAACATATTTAAATCATACATATTTGAAGTCATAACAATGCACAGGAGTGTTTTAATAAGGAAATTACAGAGTTTTGAAACAACATAATAATAACCCCTCTAATTGCCCAGAAATTTACTTGTGTAGACAAAATATCCAGATGATTGGATAACATTTTGCCTTTTTAATCTGGATATTTGAGATCGTATTGTGTCTTGGGAGAAATGTCATAATTATGAAAATTTGAAGAATTAATGTAATCCTACCAATGTCTGAGTTGGGAGCCCTAAACAACTAAGCAATTATCTTTGTTTTTCCTTACTTTCTAACTCAGCCTTCCATTCTATATCTGGCCTGGGCAAGATGCTGTCAGTAACAATACTCAAAATAATTCTTGGGGCCGGCCCGGTGGCGCAAGCGGTTAGGTGCGCGCGCTCCGCTGCAGCGGCCCGGGGTTCACTGGTTCGGATCCCGGGTGCGCACCGACGCGCTGCTTGGCAAGCCATGCTGTGGCGGCATCCCATATAAAGTGGAGGAAGATGGGCACAGATGTTAGCCCAGGGCCGTCTTCCTCAGCAAAAAAAGAGGAGGATTGGCGGATGTTAGCACAGGGCTGATCTCCTCACAAAAAAAAAATAATAATAATAATAATAATTCTTATCTTAAAAAAAAAAGATGCCTCTAAAATGTCAGACTAATTATTCCTACACAAGAACAGTAACTTCTTTCTTTTTTTCTTCTCTTTATATTTGTCCCTTAGGAGATCCTGAAGCCT